GCCCCAACTCAGGACCCATGTATGGAAATGCGCCCGCACAGCATGAGCAGACTACACCGCGTATGCAACACGCCGTACAGGCACCTACCCAGGCCCAGATGTTGATGCCTTTTGCTGGCCCCCCAGGATCCATGGCTATGGGCCAGGGACAGCAGCCCATCCTCAACGACGCCCTGAGCTATCTCGACCAGGTCAAAGTCCAGTTCGCCGACCACCCCGACGTGTACAACCGATTCCTCGACATCATGAAGGATTTCAAGAGCGGTGCTATCGATACCCCGGGCGTCATCGAGAGGGTATCGACATTGTTTGCGGGCAACCCGGCTTTGATCCAGGGTTTCAACACGTTTCTGCCACCCGGCTACAAGATCGAGTGTGGTACCAACGGCGATCCGAACGCTATCAGAGTCACCACGCCCATGGGAACCATGGTATCGACTATGCCCGCTCCAAGGCCGCTTTCACCGCCACGCAGCGGTGCCGTCAACGGCAACAACGGACCGCAACACGAGAGCACCTACTACGAGACTGCCCAAGGACGCCCATGGCCTCAACAACAGAGAGCTCAAGGTCCTGAAGGACAAGAATCGATGTTCTCACCCAACAACCGTACTCTCGGAGGGCCATTGTACGGTCCACAAGGACAGCAGGGCCCAGCGCCTCACTCGCCAGAGGTCACATCGCGTCCTCATCCTGACCCTGCTGGAGCTGCAGCGCTAGCTCACCAACAAGAGCAGAGAGGAGTTTCGCAGTTACAAAACGCTGTATCTGCAGCTACTGGCCGCTCAATGATGTCCCCCAGCGTTGATCCGGGTGCCTCCTTACAAGGACAGGCAATGAACGGCGCTGCTCAGCTTCCACAGATGGGCGGAGCTGCAGCAGAAAAGAGAGGGCCGGTAGAGTTCAACCATGCGATTAGCTACGTGAACAAGATCAAGGTACCATTCTTCACTGTGAGGTTGAAAACCAAAATGCTAATGGTCCCCTAGAACCGATTCGCAGCTCACCCAGACATTTACAAAAACTTCCTGGAGATACTACAGACGTACCAGAGAGAGTCGAAGCCCATTCAGGACGTATACGCCCAAGTCACCCACCTGTTTGGTGGCGCACCCGATCTCCTGGAGGATTTCAAGCAGTTCCTTCCGGAGTCCGCTGCTCAACACAGAGCGCAACAGCAGGCCGCCAAGAACGCGGCTGAAGACGCAGTCATGCTCAGCAATGTTCGAGGTGAATCAGGATACGGAGCCGCTGCAAACCAACAAACGCCCGGACGCGCCGATACATCTCGATTGCCTCCGATGGGCAACTTCGCACCTACACCTACAGCGAACCGCGACAACAAGAGGAAGCGCGAGCGACAAGGCCCTGTGGCTGCGCCAATGCCCGCGCCCATGTCGCAAGAAATGCCAACCTCGAACGTTCGAGGTGGATACAACCAGGGCAATGTCAACAAGGTACGTACATGATTCTACACTATAACGGGCCGGGTTAGGTCACGTTGTTTTTCTTTATAGAGGCACGTGCATCCATGGTCCTCTGCCCCAACCCTTTCAATTTCTTTTCTTTGGTCATACTCTATTTCCATCTCAACCCCACCAAATCACGATCATTGTCATCGAGACTATCATCACTATGTTTGATGGTGGGGTACTGTTTAGCTCTCTTCCCACCAGAGATGAAAATGGGCCTTCCTTCGAATGCAATAGAGCATCACAAAAGATCATCAACTAACATGTTGAAGCGCGCAAAGACCGGACATGGCGCAAAGCAGGCAATTCCCGATGGACCACCGGTATCACCCACTCTGACTCCTGCGCTACCTGAGCCAATGCCACCGACGACGACCACAACACCCAGCCAGGATGAGCTTGCTTTCTTTGACCGCGTCAAGAAGTTCATTGGAAACAAGAACACAATGAACGAGTTCTTGAAGCTCTGCAACCTCTACTCGCAAGACTTGATCGACAAGCAGTTACTACTGTCTCGCGCCGGATCTTTCATCGGCGGAAATCAGGAACTCTATGCTTGGTTCAAGAAGTTCATGGGCGAGGACGAAGAGCAGCAAAAGTACCGCCCTAAGACTGTCAACTCACGTGTCTCATTATCGAACTGCCGCAGTCTTGGTCCTAGCTATCGCTTGCTCCCAAGGCGCGAACGAGAACGCGTGTGTAGTGGACGCGACGAACTCTGCAGATCTGTTCTGAACGACGAGTGGGCATCTCACCCGACATGGGCCTCCGAGGATTCGGGTTTCGTTGCCCATCGCAAGAACACTTTCGAGGAGGGCTTGCACAGAATCGAGGAAGAGCGCCATGACTATGACTTCAACATTGAGGCCTGCAGTCGCACGATCCAACAGTTGGAGCCCATCGCCAATCAGTTGCTCACGATGAAGCCGGAGGACAGACAGGGATTCACATTGCCACCTGGACTTGGTGGACAGAGTGAGACGATCTACAAACGCGTCATTATGAAGATTTACGGCCGTGACAGGGGAAAGGACGTGATTAAAGAACTGTTCCAAATGCCCTGGAGCGTCGTCCCTGTACTTCTCCACCGCTTGAAGACTAAACTGGAGGACTGGAAGGCCGCTCAGCGTGAATGGGAAAAGGTCTGGCGCGATCAGACCCAAAAGATCTTCTGGAAGTCGCTGGATCACCAGAGCATTACCGTCAAGCAGGCCGACAAGCGACAGTTCCAGCCTAAGTCCCTCACGAACGAGATCCAGGTCAGATACGAAGAGCAGAAGCGACTGCAGCAGATCCAAGAGATATCGCAGCCGGACTACCAGTTTGCCTTTTCCTTCCGGGATGAAGAGGTACTCTTCGACGTGGCTCGACTGATGCTCACATTTGCGGACAACAACAACAGTGCCGACTTTGCAAAGGTCGTGCCTTTTGTCAAGGAATTCGTTCCTCTCTTCTTTGGCATCGATTCTGCCAAGTTCGAGCAGCGGGTACAAACCTCGCCACGCGATACGCCAAACGATTCTGGTGAGGACACGCCCTCTCCAGACGACGATGTTTCCCAACGCTCGCAGAAAATGAAGAAGGGAGACCTCCGCCGCAATGTTCTCGATCCCAACAACAAGTCACGAAAGGACAAGGAAGACAGTGTTGCGTCGGCAAGTCGGGACAGTACTCCGGACGCGTCCGCTATGGATGAGGAGGCAGCTGGTGACAGCTCAAACTCCAATCCTCGCGCAGATCGGCCAGAGAGACAATGGGTAGAATATACTGATGCTCCCACGCCTTTCGGCGACAGAGAGTTCGAGCACGAAGAGCCCTACCAACGCGTAGAGTACAACATGTACTCCAACGCTTCGATTTACTGCTTCTTCCGCATGTTCGTCATGCTCTACGAGAGGCTGTTAAAGCTCAAGGATAGCGAAGAGGAAGTACGAGAAGTCATCGCGCGCGCCAAGGAGCCAAAGGCAGCGCAGAAGCTCAAGATGCTCGACAAGCAGCCCGACGACTTCTTCAAGGACACATCGCCATCAGCAAACTACTACCAACAGCTTCTCGAAATGTTCCAAGATCAAATCTCCGGCGAAGTAGAGATGAACTTTATCGAGGAGACTTTACGAAGGTACTACCTGCAGATCGGGTGGCAGTTGTACTCGTTCGACAGGCTCTTGAGCTCGCTTGTCCGATTCGCTCTTGCTGTTGTCAGTCATGATAACAAGGATAAGAGCCTTGATATCTACAACCTCTTCAGGAAGGATCGTGTCAACGACACCACAACTCACAAGAACGAGATTAGCTATCGCAAGGCTGTGGAGAAGCTCGCCAAGGACGCTGACACCTACCGCATCACCTATGTAAGTCAACACCACCTCCCTCTTATGAATCATGTATTGATGTTTCTGCAGAACCCCGCCAAGATGTGGGCGCACGTGCGGCTTTTCAAGAAGGACGACCCGACCTTTGATTTCACCACGCTCGACCGGATTAAGCGCTGGCGAGCATACGTCGCCTCGTACATGGCCGTGGAACCCACCGAAGAAGTCGACCTCTCCCGTGTCAACTACCCGTACCTCAAGAAGCGCCTCGCGCGAGCCGAACACCTCACCGAGGAAGAACGCTTCGATCACGTCAAGCACAGCGACAAGATCACCGTGTCCATCAGCCCCGCCGCTTACATCATGACCTTTATCAACAGCGAACCCTTCGGTACAGGTGGTGTCCAGTACTTCCTGCAACCAGACGCCGTGCGCGCGGGTCTCAGCGAGGCCGTCCCCAACCCAGCTGAAGAGTACAAGAAGCTCAACGACGAGCGAAGAGAGAGAGTCCAAGACATTCTCGTCAGGAACAATACCTGGATGAAGGACCTCAGCCGGGACGATGTAGACGCGAAGAAGGCGGCGTTCAAGAAAGATCTTGAAGAGCCCAGGAAGGTGGCTGATAATGAAGATGTGGACATGGACGGCGCAGATGGTCTCGACTAGGCGCTTTATCCTTTTGTTCGCAAAGACTATGCGGCTGGGTGATTGGCAACGCATGTTCTTGCGTCTCTGGCCTGGCGTTCTTTTGTGTGGTGTGGCGGGACTTGGATGCCAGAATGCGAGCGGACGAAAAGGTCTGGTTCTCTACGGATTTCTTCTGGCTTCGATTCAGTTTTGCATGTTTCCCGCGTTCGCGCGTTTGGAAGGGGTGGCTGGGTGGGTGCCATGTGCAGCACAAGGCGTGTCTTTGCACAGCACGACTATGGGTGGAGGGGTTTCTTTTCTTTCCCTCTCTCTCTGAGATGGGCGCTGGCGGCGTTTGTTAAGGATATGATAACCCGACTCGACTCTTCATTCCCATCTATATCCAAGTTTTTTCGTGTGGTTTAGTAGGATTGCGAATTCTATTTTCATTTTTTTGAAGCTTGCTTTCTGGTTGTTGTGTACAGATACTCAAGGTGAGTATGAGGTGGTCGGGGAGTATAGTTGTATACCGAGTATATACATTGTGCTATTACATCGCGTTATGCCCGCATCTTAACACGTAATCTGTTTACAAGAGGAGATAGCTCAAAGCCCCAATCGCAGCCATTAGGCATGTTAGACCCCCGACGAGGAGTTGCTGGGCGGCACTCTCATCTACAGGGCAACTGATCTGTGGCTCTGGAGCCCTTCCAGCCTCCACCCACATTAGATTCTCATCAGAGCAGAGACTTGCTGTCAAGGCTGCCGCAATGCTTGAAGCAGCGGTAGAATCGATATCGACTCGGCAAGGAGTGGGAGTGACGGTTGAATTGTCCAAGACAGCGCACTGTTCGCCCACGCCGTAGGAGCCTCCGGTAACCTTCGTAGTATCAACAACGTTGACAGCTATTCCCTGATCTCCAGGGCAACTCCGGTCTTTTGTTGCGTCAACAAGATCAATACCCTGCGCAGTCTTCTTCGTGGTGAACTTGATGCCTGAGCCGAAGCGTTGCCCTTGGGAATCTCGATAATGTATTTCCCGAAGAGGGTCGTATGTACAATTAGACCAGCGCAGGAACCAGTTTAACATCCATTTGCCCTCTATGTTGAGTTCTGTGTAGTGGCGATATACGAGCTCCGGGTCGGAGCTGGACGTGTCTGTCCAGTTGAGGGTTCCGTCCCGATAGTGGTCGCCGAAGCTTCCCTCGTCGACGATTGAGCCGTTCGTTATATTCCAGACTTGGAAGCTGAGATGCAAATCAAGTAACGTCGCGAGTTCGGGGTTCCGAACTGCAAAGACGATGGGCACATATGGCGCTGGCGCGTATGTGTCGTTGCGCGGGAAGACTAGGTCTACTTCTACGACACCTGAGGTTTCGCTGGCAGCCGCATCAATAGCTCCCATCAAGGAAACGAATATCCAGGTGACCCAAGTAAGAACACGCATTTTGAGGGCGAAAGACGACCGGAAGGCTGCCGGGAGAATGAAATTGAAGGAGAAATCGTAGCAAAGACCCGGTAAGTAATTCAATGAAGTTGAGAAACCACAGTACAAAGGAAGAAACTCGCCCAGGGTCGCGACATTTGTACTGGGTATTGGAAGGATTAACGGATGATAGGAACAAACCTGAACAAAGCTCTATACCTAGTATAACGATAAACGTGCGGTCGGGTGCAATAGTCCAAGTTTGGGACAGGATTGGATGTAGCTCGCCAGGGGCAAGGACCTACTTGGGTGCGGCACGGGTTCCAAAAGGGTAGGCTAGCGGGGGTCGATGCCGTGAGAGCCGCATCGCCACATTCTTCTGGACATTGCGCTGGAGCCTAAGATCTTTTCGCGGGTAATTTTGGTTATGTACGTCGGGGGTTGGGATGGTAGGTAACGATGGGTTGCCAAGTTCTCGAGGTTGTGTGAAGTGGTTGTCAGGTGATTCTTGGCATACCCACATGTTGCCTTGCTTCCCATAGTGGTTAGCTTATACATATGCTGCATCGATTGCAGTGGTCGTCACTGTGCTCGATAATGTCAGCGATGAATAATCCAGCAACGGCATAGTGGTGAATGGATTGGATCTTTCCTTCTTACTTTCCTCAATCACACCATTTTTTCAAGTTTGACAATATATTAATCCAGCACGGCGCGGTGTTAAACCTAATATATAAGTTTGTTACTGTTTATCACTTTATTTGCACCGTATAATTGAATGTGGAAGATGTTTGTTTCTGTCGATTTCAACTGCGTAAGACGTTCCAATATCCGCTTGTCTTGACAGTAACTCGGTAGTTCTCAGACTTGAGTGCACTCCTCGCAATGCCATTCATTATGGTAATTTACAGCCCCGCAGTCCTTACAGATCCAGCCTTGATTTGACATGCTGTGGATCTTTGCTTCGGACTTTTGTTGACACAAGTGTAGTTCGTTGTTGAGTTCAATGCGGTCTCGTTGCTGGAGGTAGGCTTGATGTGACTGGGAAAATGTATGTGTGCGTTTTGATTTACTATTACACAGTCAGCATTTGGAGTAATGGCAAGGGACTGCCTAGGTAGGGAATAACTACGTAGCGTTTTGTGGAGTCGTTGTTCATGCGTCAGTAGCAGATATCGCCGCGGGGCTTTTATATCAATTCGTTTCCAACATCGAAGGTTTGCTAGTTCTTCCAGGAAGAGCACATTCTCAAACTGCGAAGCCAACTTCACGCTACAATTTCCATTTGTGACTTGGATGATTGGACATGGACTAGATCCTCCCATGAATCACGTACCAGTAGTTCAAATCCCTACTCTGACTTCTTGATTCCCTCATACTATCGTAGGTGATAAATAGATCCGACATGCATGATCCAAAACCTGTATCGCTGTAATCCCCGTAATTCCTCTGATATACACCCCCTGACTCGTCAGAACATCCTGAATTATAATGTCCACAGACGCGCGTCTAGCAGCCCTTGAGGCTCTAGCCCGTGAAAGCCAAGAAAAGATCGAAGGACTAAACCACACGAACTGGCTACTCAGCAACCAAAACATCAAGATGCAAGAAGAACTCGCCAAGTTGGAAGAAAAGTTACGCAACGAGTATCCCGACTTTGATACTAGGCGTACCAACCATTCAAGCTTTCAGGCCAATCCATCGCCACCTCTCCATGATCCATCCGTAGCTAGAGATGTCTCTCACGCTCGCCCACAGCTACTTGAGCGTCCACCACCAGGACCGTTGTGGACACCATTCTACATGACCGCCCGCGACGCCCCACGACTATATCTAGAGTATGTGATACCAGGATCCAAAGGCGAGACTTTGGAGTTAGCTGTGAACAACGTAGATCTGGCCTTTATATTGCAGCAGGCATTGCGACGGAGAGGGTGGGGCGAAGTGACGACGAAGAGGGGCGTCGAGGATTTCCTAGAGCAGCCGATGATGAAGGTAACTTGGACGGGCGGAGAGGGTACGTTCGGGAATTTGAAGTAGTCCCGCGAAGAGGTTGGGTTGTAATGTATCTTGATTTGAGAAATGGAGTCTATGAAGAAGGAGTATTTGGTATCTCAACGCCGACCCATGCATATTAGAATCCCGATGTTCAATCGTCTTTGTGCTTTTCGTCAAAAGCGAGCATGAGGCCCATGGCCCGCTCGTATGTCCACATGGTGACCGCACTGGCTGGCGCAGCTTTCAGAAGACTGACCGTCAACCCGCGGTACATGCCTCGTCGACCTTCATGCTTCCATATATGCGCAATGGTATTGATGACGCCGGTATATGTCGGTATGTTCCGATGAACGTATCGCTCGCGCATCGGCCCTTGGACTTGTAGTCGCTTGCGCGTGGTATCGAGCGGGTAGACGGCTGTTTTGGAGAGAACGCTCGCGATGACACCGGCGACGGCATCTGAGCTTCCGAGTGGCAGTGGTACGGGAGAAGAGGCGGTTATGGGCTTCAAGCTTTCGTAGCTAGCGAAGAAGAGGCCCATGTACGGCACAATCTGGCTCACGCCTGCGCCGAGGCCGCGAAAGAAGCCTCTGGGTCCTTCATGCTGCGCGATATGCTTCACAGACGCGAGGATGGAGGTATAGACGCGATCTTTGCCTTGCGCAGCAAAGCGCGTGCGAAGAAGATCGAGCGGGTATGTCGCCGTCGTCGCAGCGGCACCCGCGCTGGCTCCGCTGAGGAAATTCGCGACTGAGCTGGGAAGCGTATATGGCGGCGGAATCGTCTCTAGCCAATGCGATATGTACGTGTAGGCAGAGAACTGGGCGCTACCGTACGTCAAGTACATGAGCTCCGCCGGTATGTTGCCCTTCCATAGCCCCGTGACACCCTCTTCGCGAAGAATCTGTTTGAGGGTGCCCAATGTTCCTTTGTATACGGGCCCTTGGACATTGCGAACGCTGAACGGGTCGGAGAGCGAGTGGATTTGCAGTTGCAGGCGGATCTTTATGACGTCGAGGGGAGCTATCACGAAGCTGTCGCAATGTCAGCCATGTGCGCGAACAAGGGAGATTAGACATACCGCGACACCAGGCCTGCCACCGCACCTGCGACGACAACTTGTCGCTGGGAGCCCTGCCAGTCATATTAGCTCTGCCTCTGCCAGCATATCGTGTCGGTAAACGGTGAAGATAGACAAGCTCCTACCTCATGCTTCAGCTGTGCGACACCCTCAGACATGCGCCCAGCGCGTCGATTGAGACACGTGCTATGTTCGCGCGCGTAAATAGCTACCCACCGCCGATGCTCGGTAGGACACCTGTAATTGCAAACGTGCCGGGCAAAGGGTAGTAGAGACCTCGGTTTACGGGTTGATTGTTTCCACCACGCTCGCTCCCTGACGTTGAAAAGCAAGGAACCCCGCCGTGTCCCGTCACTGCCAACAGCTGCGGCCGACCATGTCTTTCACCATCACCACCAGAATACCGCTACGGAGTCTGAGATCGCAAGTCACCACTTCTCGCAGGATTGCTATTGCTGTTCAGAGACGGCGTTTCTTCTTCAACTCGTTCTGGCGATCACCTAAGCCGGCCGAGCATGCTGATTGGAGCCCCGCTACACATGGCCCTTTTCGGCCAACCAAACGCCAGGAACAGCTGCAACAGCAACAGGAGCAAGAGCTGAGACATTCGAAAGAGCAGGAACTTCTCGTTCATGATGAATCCAACATTGGCCAGCTTGACGGTAGCCCAGCGAAGAGAATCGCTGTGAACATCGATGGAGAGCCCAAGATCTTTGACGCTGCGTTCCTTCGTGACAGCTGCACGTGTACGCAATGCATGGACCCTGACAGCAAGAACAAGCGCTTCCAGACTTCGGACATACCAGAAGATGTAGAGGGTAGCTGCAAGACAGTAGTTGATGAAGAGAAGGGAGTCTCTATCGAGCTTCAATGGAAGACAGACGTCAAAGGCTTCGGTCCCGAGCACCGCACACGGCATTCCATCGACTGGCTACGCCGCGCATTCAACACAGAGATTGAGCTACGTGGCGGAGTGCGACACGATGACAGAGTGTTCTGGGACAAGAACAGGATCGTGAAAGACAACAAATGGCTCGACTACGACACTTACATGTCCCAAGACGAGTCCCTCTTCGAAGCTCTCACCCACCTGAATCGCTATGGGCTCCTCTTCATTAAAAACGTCCCCGAATCCGAGGAATCCGTCGTAGCCCTCGCCTCCCGTATCGGTACCCTCAAAGACACTTTCTACGGCCGAACATGGGACGTCCGCTCAAAACCCAAAGCCGAGAACATAGCCTACACGCCCGACTACCTCGGTCTCCACATGGACTTGCTGTACACATCCAACCCCCCGCATCTGCAACTCTTGCACTCTCTCCGAGCCCGCACACCAGGTGGCGAATCCTTCTTCTCAGACTCCTTCGCTGCAGCACATCAACTCCGGCGGCAATCCGAGGGCCACTTCAGAACGCTATGTACATTTCCCGTAACATACCACTACCACCATCCCACCTATCATTACCACTTCACCCGGCCAGTGATTGAAACCTTCGCCTATCCTAACTACAGCGACCCCGCCAACCTCGCCATTCGCCGTATAAACTGGTCACCACCTTTCCAGGGCCCGTTCGAAGCGCGAATTGGCAGCGGCAATTCCACGTCGCTTCGCTCCTTCATTGCTGCTTCGCATGCGTACGAGAAGCTGCTTAGTGCGGAGGAGAATTTGTATGAGTACAGGTTGAATGAGGGCGAGTGTGTCATCTTTGATAATAGGAGGGTGTTGCATGCTAGGAAGGCTTTCGATGCTACAAAGGGTGAGCGGTGGCTGAAGGGGGCGTACGTGGATGATGATGTATTCTTTAGCAAGCTGAGAGTGCTGGAAGAGAAGTTTGAGGGTAGGTGGGTCGCTGAGGGTGTGGTTAGGCATGCCGTGAAATGAAGGTGGGGGTGTTCAGTTATTTAGGTCGCGCAGTATGGATATGGCTGTGCCTCGGAATTT